AGATGCCTGTGTAATTTAGTAATGGTCCACGGCAAGGGAAATTGTCTGCCGACTTGCCCTGTCATCAAACTATTACTGGTAGCATGATCCGCTGTGTTATTACAAGTCCGGGGCCTGGAGGAATAACTTAGTGGTTAAAAGCACATACACTCTAATAGACATCTGAGCTGAGTTCAATTCCCAGCACCCATGTTGGGAGGCTTCCAATTGCCTGTAACTCTAGTTTCATGTGATCCAATGCCTCTTCAGACTTCCTTGAACACTGTGTTCATGTGTATATGCACACATGCACGCACACACAAAATAAAATAAAATAAATCTTTAAAAAATTTTAGGATAGCCTAAAAATCACTACTTTCCCTTTTTCATTTGTTTGCAAGTGATTGGTTTCTTTTATCTTTTCCAAGCTCCTGGAACCACTGGTTTCTACTTCCCCAAGCTGTGACTAATTGACTGGATGCTAAATGACTCAATCCAGGTAAAATGCATGTGTTGGACAGCAGCTGCAAAACAGTAAACTTGAGCAAACCGAAAGTGTTGCTAAGGGAACAATAAATGGGCACTTCCATACTTATTTACTAGATTCATGGTATCCTGAGCTAATGACATACATAGTTTGTGGCACCCCTGCCCTGAATACCTATCTCAAAGTTAGCTAGGGGTCCTGTGAGGTCTGCCAAGGGGTCCTAGTGGCCTGAGAGGCTAGGACTTTGTGGGAGGGCACTGACCATTGAATGTGCAAAGCACCCTTCTTCCTCTTGCCCTTCAGCTCTCATCTACAGCCTCAAGCAGACTTCAAATGCCTGCCTGTCTGTGCCCCTAAGAGTGGTTAATGGGTACCGCCTACCTCCTCTCTGCTCCAGACAGTTGCTTTCCCTCCCCTGGGCCTGCCTGCAGCCATAAAATAAACAGAGCAGCTCCAGGCTACCTCAGATCTCTCCTGCCTAGTACAGGAGTTTGTCACAGGCCTTGGATATAAAATTTGCTTCTTTAAATATTTTGCCTACCCAGGACCTCCAATTGCAATTAACTTTGCTTTTGTTTTTGTAGGGTCTGGAGAAATGGCTTAGCAGTTAAGGGTATATTCTACCGTTGCAGAGGACCCAGGTTCAGTTCCTGTCACCTGTCTATGTTGGCTGGCTCACAACCAGCTGTAACTCCAACCCTGCAGTATCTTATACCTTCTTCTGGCCTCTTTGGGCATCAATACACACATGAACATATGCACACATATAAATAAAAGCAACACTCTTATAGGGAAAAAAAAGGCTACCCACTACACTCTGTGAGTGTAATCATCTCTTGGATACTGATAGTTACTAAAAGTCATTTTCTAGAGCAGGGTTGGCTTTCCTGGACTGGTATATAGCTCAGTGGTAGAGCATTTGTCTCACATGCCTGAATTCATACCCAGAATAAAGACAATACAAGTCAAGACTTAACTTTCCTTCATTTTTGTTTTCATATTGTTTAGGCTCACACACACACAAAAATTCTAATAGGCCCCAGCCTGACTCTCAAGTTAAAGTCACAGAAATTTATAGAACTACATTGTATTGAATTCTAATTAGGCACTGTGGTGATTTTGTGGAAAAATGGCCCGCAAAGGGAGTGGCACTATTAGAAGGTGTGACCTAGCTTGAGGAAGTGTGTCACTGTGAGGGCTTTGAGGTCTCTTTTGCTCTAGCTTCCCTCAGTTGACTTCCTGTTGCCTGCAAGATGGAGGACCCTCATCTCTAGCACCATGTCTGCCTACATGCTGCCATTTCCCCTTAATGATCAGAATGGACTGAACCTCTGAAACTGTAAGTGATTCACCCTTAACTAAATGTTTTCTTTACCAGAATTGCCGTGTTCATGGTGTCTCTTCACAGCAGTAAAAACCCTAAGACAGACATTTAAAATTAAAACCATCATTTAGTAAATGAACTAATGAGGCAGCATATGATAATATAAAACCTAAAGGAAGTGTCTGGTTGACTCTGCACTGTTCTAAGATCACACCTTACTAGACTGGAACATTCTGAGCCCTGAAACATATAAACACCCTTAGTATGCAGTGTTTCATGGAAGATAACTGTCCTGAGAGAAGTGTCATGAAGTGATTTTGTCATTGTGTGCATTCATATGAAGAGAAAGAGGTCTACAATGTCACTGGGTGAACCACTGTTGTATGTACTGCCTATGATTAACCTAGGCATCCTCATTATATATATATATATATATATATATATATATATATATTGCAAACTCAAACACATGTGCATGTATATACACACATATACACGTGCACACATACTTCTTTTTTACTCAAGACATAAATATGCTTAGTTGAACATAGATATGGTATAGTGTACAAATGTTTACTGCACATCAAATACCATTCTCATTACTATTCACTGTTAAGCCATTTGACCTTTGCTTCAACTACTAGTACTATTACTTATTTTACTTTTCAAATGAAAAAAAGAGAAAATTTTAAGGTCTGGAATGGCTACTCATTTGCTAATAATGCTTTACGCTTGCCAACACTATGTGTGAATTGAGCGATCTGATGAGTACTGGCTTTAACTTTTTTATTACTTTCATGTTTTTTGGGTTTTTTTTGTTTGTTTGTTTTTTTAGCACTGAAAATGCAATTCAAGATCTTGATCATGGTATGCAAATATTGCATGGCTGAGTTGTACTCACCTGTCCAAAAGCTTGCTAGCTAGCTTGTTTGCTTGCTTGCTTGCTTGCTTTCTGTAGGGTCACACTCTGCAGCTCTGCCTAGCCTAGAACTCTATATGTATTCCAAGCTAGCATCAGAATTGGGTAATCCTCCTTCCTCTGCCTCCTGAGCATTGAGAATACAGGCATGTGCTACATGTTTGGTTCTAAGCACAGGCCTTTGTATTTATAACACTGTTACCATTCAACTTGTTACCATTTTGACTTGTTTATGTGATGTAATGTGAGACCATCTTTCCCTATAGGTTCTTAAACAGAGATCACATTTGGAGAAAGATAAAAATTTACGTTATATTCAGTTAAACTTTAAACTTTAAACTTTATCCATATCCTCCAAACAGCAAATGGCTGTTGATGAGAAGGGCTGCGTCCTGTCAAACCATGTTGTTACACTCACTCTTGAGCAATCCGGCATGGCACCAGGCAGTTCCATCAGCTGTGTTATATGAGTTTAATGGTTACACAATACCCCACATAATGGGTCTCTTGTAACTTTGCCTAATGCATTGACAAATAGGTTTGTTTCCATTACAAGAGCAATCTTCCATGCCTCTGTGCAGGTGAGGTTGTTGGGCTAAAGAGGAAGTACAGACAACTGTTAATATGTGTCATTGCTTTGTTTGCAAAATGTTGTACACTTGCACTTTATAGTGAGGAAAAACACTCTTTCCCTTACTGTTACTAACACAGGGTACTAACAAATCTTGTCCTTGTTTGTCCACTAGATGGGTCTCCTTATTTAGTTTATAAACCAGGGTTCCGTATCTTTTGTGTCTTGGTCATCTATTTTGTCACAAAGCATCTTTCCATGTATGATGATTTCTTTTTGTGTTAAGTTTGCTTGACATTTCTCAGTGGGTTAAAGCCATTTTTTAACAGCCAAACAACTTACTTTTAGTTCAAATGTATCTCAATTTTATCTCCCATTATTCTCTTTTATGATTTTATATGTTTCATTTTCAAAGCACAACAAAGGGAGCCATCTATTTTATAACTCCTAGAATAATGCACATGTGTTCTACCATGTGTTCTTCACGGTAGCATGGGGAGAGATTCTCATTATTATAATATCTCACCTCACAGTAAATTGCTGTTTAAAGATGTTAAGGGACCTACCTGCCCAAACCCACACATTCAGTACTGGATCTGGCCCTCAAGGACCCTGGATTCCTCATCCAGAAAAACAGTCCCTCACACCTTCCAAAAGGGACTTTCAAGGCACGCAACTACCTATACTAACTAGCCTTTGAAGAAAACAGTGCACAGGTTTCAAGCAATCCCTTGGAGATAGGCTTGAAGGGGAGCAAACCTGGGCCGCTGTTATAGAGGGACGGTGTTCCCACTTTCCCACTGGCCTCACTACCTCTATGTCCAGAAGTTACTGATAATACTCTCATCTGCTAATTTATTTAATGATTCTGGAATTGCACTCAAGTCCTAGCACATGCTAGGTTTCCTGCTACCACTGCACTTTGTCGCCAGATCTCTTTCTACTTTGAGATGAGGGTCTCATTAAATTGCCCAGGCTGACATTTAATCTGTGATCTTCCTGCTTCCATCTCCCGAATGTGGATGAACTCTTAAGGGAAAGCCAGGGTCTCCCCCTGGTGCCAACACATGTACTGTCTTTTGGATATATGTGTCTACTTAGAGCTCCCTAAGGTATCTGGAACTAAATAGATCCGACATTGGTTTTAGCCTTTTCCCCATCCTTTCGAAGTTCTCTCTTCCTCTACTCAACCAAGGCACCAGCTAGTCAAGGCCAAAAGATGGGAATCATGGCACTTCCACAGGCTTCAGTCTCTACTATCAGAGGCAGACATCCCTGCGCAGGCCTCCTGAACAGTCATAGGTGGGTCCCCCTCCTGCCTACCGCCAACCACCTCCACATCCCCAGGGCCGCCCAGCAGAATCCCCCTGGGGAGTTGTTTGCTATGAAAACTGCACGGTTTCACTGGGGGCCCTAAAGCCTCTGAGCACCAAGGAAAAAACACCACTCCATACTACAGCCTATGAGTGGTTCCTGGCCCCACCCACAGCCCACAGATGCAATTCAGGCTTCCTGAGACCCGCCCAGAGATGACGCGTAGTGCAGGGCTGGCCTCCACCTCCAGATCTGCCCATTTCTAGGGGGGCGGAATTGTCTGAGAGCAAAGACCAATTCTGAGAGGGAGGAGGAGCCTAGGGGCGGGGCTCCAGGCTCCGCCCAAGGCCGGGTTTTCCGCCTAGTAGAACCGGTGCTGCACAGCTGAGACCCTCACGCCTGTGCAATGGACGTGTCATGGGCTACGCAAGAGAGTGAGGCAGTGGCGGAGAAGGTGCTCCGGTACCGGCGGGACGAGTCAGGCTGGAAAAAGTGCCGGGAAGGCGTGAGTGAGGGACTGAGCGGGAAAGGGGTCTGGAGACGGCTCCTGGGAGCTGGATCCCTCCAATCCCCCAGGCTTCTCCTCTCCCTGTGATTTTCTGCACCCCAGACCTCGGAGGTGGATTGAGAGAGCTATTCCACCCAGAGTGACTGCTCTCTGGGACTCCTGGAGATCCCTACCGCTTTCAATAAGAACACACTCAAGGTCACCTGACTGGTATGAGGTTAGGATTGGACCTGAAACTCCAGGTACCAAGTCTTTCCTCTGTTCATTGTAATAGAATCCTGTCTCCCAGAGAGTGTCAGGCAAAGTTTTCTTCCTTGACGCTTTTGATTTTTTTTAAAACAAATATTCCTAAATTACTTAAGGAAACAAAAGTTCTAGGTGGCGTTTAAGGCGGTTGGAGAAGCTCCCACAGCTCTTGGAGCCAGTCAGCCAGGATATCTTTGCTCATCACCTGCTGTGGGGGCAGCTACGTCCATGATGAATCCCAGCTATGCCAGGAAAGGGTTGGGTGACCTTGAAGAACCTTGTCTTAAGATCTTGTCTCTGAGCTCTAAAATTCTATGATTCTGTGCCTTTTGACAGAATGGAGTTTCAGTTTCCTGGAGGCCATCTGAGGAGTTTCCAGGGCATCTGTAAGTGTACCTCTAACAAAGCTTGTCAGAGCCTCAGCTCCCTTCCTGGTTTCTCTGGGGTTGCCTCATGAAAGGTTCCAACCCACCCTGGCCCTCTGTGATCCCCAGTCTTCTTCAAAAAAAGCACTGGCTTGTGTTTTGAATGGTTTCTAGCAAGCTGTCTTCTATGAGGGCTTAGTACTGTTTATGCAGGATGGAGAGGAGATGGGCTAGCATATTTTAGTTCCTTTTCCATCAGCCAGCTCTAGAACTAGGACAGACATGTAATAGACTTGAGGTAAAAATCCTAAAATAAGCAAGTGTAATTCGTGCTTTGGGTCAAATCCCTCTCTATGTTCCAGGTACCGAGGGGAAGGCATTCTGTGTGGGACACCAGAAGAGGTGTGGGATTGCATAAAGCCAGTTGCTGGAGGCCTCCGGGAGAAGTGGGATGACAATGTGACCAGTTTTGAAATTGTTCAAAGCATCACGGATGTAAGTTTCTCTGCCTGTGTTATCTATAATATCTTGCCTATTACTTATAGTGTCTTGTCCTGCTGCAGTACCCTGACGCCATGTCCTCTGAAGTGGGATCTATAACACCCATAGGCAAGAGGAGTACCCTGCACTCCATCCCAGTCAAGTACCCTGCACTTGACCCTCTGGAAACAGTGTGACTTTGAGAGGCCAGAAACCCCCAGCAGAGCCAGGGAGCTATAGATGAGGAATCCTAGATCAAGTCCCAGGCTCCCCCAACACCAAGGCAGGCCTGGATTTAGATATAGTTTGAAGCCTTGTCTTTTCACAGAGCCTTTGCCCACAGTAGGACCACTGCAAGTATTCACTTCTGGATTGCATTGCCTCTTTTAGAAAAGTGTGTGCCCCACAGCCCAGCTCCACCCAGCCGAAAGCCTTGCTATATGGCAGCATTGTTCTGCAACTGTCCTGTCTAGAATGGAAGCCTCAAGTTCCCATGGGGCCATGGAGCATGAAGAGGTGGCTGGTCTGAGGAAATGAATTATTTATTTAACAAATTTATATGTAAATTTAAATAGCCACGTGAGCTAGGGGCTGTTGCAACAGACAGCTGCAATCTTGATGAACCTGCCCTGGTGTCATCTGTAACTTTAAGATCTTGAAGCTCAGAAGAATAGAAAATCACAGTGAGAACACGTGCAGGAGCAACTCTGGGGAGGCTGAGCTGTGTGGTTTGGATGGCATCTTAGTGTTGCTGCCCGGGACCTCTCTGGCACTGTCTGATGCTGACATAAGCAGGTAGCATTGTGAAACCTCGGTGTTTTGCAGCGGGCCGAGCTATGGAGCCAGGTATCTTTGTGCTGACCTCATTTCAGTTCCATTTGTTGTCTGTGGGAGTTTATGTCAGACTTGTCTGAAGGCTGGGGCAGAAGTCCCTGGGAAGAAAGGTAATCTGATGTCCTTGTCAGTCCAAGATGGAATCGAAACACACAGCGTGGCTGGTGCTCTTCCAACCCTTCTTTCATCCCTCTGATACCGGAAAGAGGAGCGTGGATCTCAGGCACTAGTGTGCCTTTGACACTCTTTAACTCATGCTGTCCTATGAGACCAATAGGGGGCCTGGGCTGGGAATCAAGACTTGAGCAATTTTGCATGCAATTTGCCTTTAATTTATGACAAGTGATTCTTCCTCTCTCTTTAATTTTTCATCTCTAATAGTTAAATAGATATGATTTTCTTGGTCTGGATTAAGTGGAACCAGCACAAGAAAAGAAAAGAATGCAAAGAGGGAGTACAAATTATTATGCACAAATGGGCCAAGTTGAACAAACCTTGGTTAACCATGCAAATGCTGTAACAGAAGGACTTGATATATGTTTGTGTATATGTATATTATGCATGTTCGTGTGTGTGTGTGTGTGTGTGTGTGTGTGTGTGTGTGTGTGTGTGTATGGAGCCCCAAGAAGTGTCTCATATAGTCATTCTCCACTTTATGTATTGAGGCAGAATCTCTTGCTGAATCTAGAACTTGCAGTTCTAGCCAGCTTGCTCCAGAGATTCCCCACCTCTACCTCCTTTCTGGGATTATAGCCAGAACTACCAGCTTGTATGTAGTAGGTTCTAAGGAATCTAAGTTCCAGTCCTCATACTTGCACAGCAACCACTTTACCTACTAAGCCATCCCCATAGCACTGCACACCATCTTTTGGAATTCAAAAGTGGCTCTATTTCTTGAGCACATTTGCACTTCTCAGTCTCAGTCCAGTGATTGGTGGGACTAAAAGAATGTAAAGCTAGGAAAGCCATAGGCTGAGCAGCCGTAATGATGACTGACCCATCTATACTGTCAAGGCAGGAATTGGATGTTCTATTCTTGGCTACAAGCTCCCTATCCTGAGGTAAAGAGAAATTGCCAGGTGCACACAGGTAAAGGAGCCAAGCAGGAGCTGGCCCTCTATTGCTACAGTGCCACCTCTCAAAGGGAACTCTTCCACCTTCACCTCAGCTCCCATTCTGATTTATATCTCTCTGCTCCTCCCCTGGGGGACATTTTTCTCCAGTGCTGCTTTCTAGGCACCACGTGTTCCCAGCACACCTGGCACTCACCTGTGAGGAATTCTTTGTTTCTCTTGCCTTCTTTATCAGTCCTCCAGCATGGTTGAATGGTTGGTGCTAGTGGGGCTTTCTGGCTTTTCTGGGGACCCTGGCTTATCCCTGGCTGTGTCTGTTTCCCTGTATGAGACTGATGCTGCAGACAACACAGAGACCCTCACCCTGGTGCATCCATTTCTCTGAACGCTGACTGGGCCAGTGTCAGTCCCAGCAGCCTCAAATCGCCTGCCTGAGCCCAATCAGCCTTCTGGTCCATGAATCTCCAAACTTTTGGCTTGTGTTTCCTCTAACAGATTTTTGAAAAATTATGTCTCATCCCAACACATGTCATTATCTAACATTCAGTTCAGCTTAATTTTCATAAAGTGTGAAGCCTAGATTTTTTGAGATGTACTGTTTGTTAGTTTTGAACAAAGCAATGGCATTTAGTTCTGCCTAAATAATATTGGGTTTTATTTATTATGTCCCATTTTTAAAATGGCTCATACCTGTAATCCCAGCAGCCAGGAGGTGGAGGCATGAAGATCACAGGGTTGGGGATAACCAGACTATTTAGGAGCTCCAGGCTAGGCAGGTTTGCATTTCAATTCAATAAACAAAGAAGCCACCAACAATAAGAAGTAAATGTTTCTGAATCAGAGTGCAATTATTTTCCTTGAACTGCATTTCACACAGCACAGCCTACTGATGTTTTTTTTGTTTGTTTGTTTGTTTGTTTTAAGACAGGGTCTCTTTATATAGCCCTAGTGCGCCTGGAACTCCATATATAGATCAGGCTGACAGTGAGCTCACAGAGATCCACCCGCCTCTGCCTACCAAGTACTAAGACTGCATGCTCATGCCACCAGGCCCAGCATCACACTCCATTTTATCTTCACATAATGCATATGTTTCCTTGGACATCACCCAATATTATTAGAGATATTCATGTATATTGGGGAAAAAGACTTTTTTAATTATGTATTTCTTTTGATCACAAGACTTAAAAAAATTAACTGACTGGGGTATGAGTGTAATTTATTTAGGTAACATGATTACATTTGGAAATTTGAAGAATGGCTAAACACAAAGAGAAAAAAGTATTTTTCGTCTCTGCATGAGATGTGTGGGAACTCTTTGTTCTCATTAATTCATGTGTCCCTGGAAAGATTTGGCTTGTTGCCAGAGACACACAACCTTCAGCAGACACGAGACACAGGAGAGAAAGCACAAGCTGCTGACAAATGTAGGCATCCCAAAAAACAGAGAAACCCTTGTTCATTAGGAGAAACAGTGCTGATAAGGGAGAAAGACCCTTCCTTTCAGGTGGCACTCGTCAGTGTGATTTGGACAGCTCACAAGCATCCTAATTCTTAATAGATAATGGGTAAAGGATGTATGGATGAGACTGAACCTGGAGTGAACTTGTGTCTGTAACAAGTGACTCTGTCTTTAGTATTCTTAAAAACAGTATTCTTTAGTATTTAGTATTCTTTAGTATTAGTATGTCTTTAGTATTCTTCTCTTGGGCTCCAGATGGAATCAGAAGCAGATGTTACCCTTGTAGAAAATGATGATGACTTCTACCATACCTGCTAGAAGACATGGGAATTCAGAAATGGACTTGTTTTTTAGACTATGCTTAGGGGAAACTGGCATTCTGAGCTCAATGTGGGGCACCATGACCAAAATATTGCAGTCAGCATTCTTGCAGATTGTTAGCACCACAAGGGATTGTATCCTGGGCAATGCATCTAGGATGATACTAGATGGGTAGGGGAGACACAGACTGTTCTCAAGTGTTTTTTTTTAAAGACATGGAGATGAAGTCATTTGGCCTCAGTGCACCCACTGGAAAGTGCCCAAGTCCCCCCCACCCCCGGGCTTCCTTTGGGTTCTCCTGCTTGCAGCTTGCCACACTGCTGTGCATGAGATGAACTTGTCTTCAGTAGATCTGAGCCTGCTTTGTTTCGGCAGGTGCTGTGTGTGAGCAGAACCTCCACACCCTCAGCTGCCATGAAGCTGATTTCTCCCAGGGACTTTGTGGACTTGGTGTTGGTGAAGAAATATGAGGATGGCACCATCAGTTCCAATGGTAAGTGATGGTATGTGTCTACTAGCTGCCCTAGATACAGGCTATGTCTTATGCACCCCTAGATCTTCGAGAACAGCTGGGTGATTGGGAACCATCAGCTACCTCATGCATTCCGTCTTTCCCCCCTTGTAGAGTTGAGAAGATTTTGTACCAGAGGGACTGAAATGGGGAGACCTAATGCCTGGGCTTTATTAAGCCCCAGATTTTGTCAGCACTGTTTTTATTCTTGCTGTGCTCAGAGTTCATGCCATCAACATGACGATTGCAAATAACCTCTTTGTATGTCAGTGTGTTGAGTCCATAGGAGCATCCTAATCATGTGGTTGCTTTCTGCCCATTCGTGCCCTGTGGGAACACAGCCCCGTGATTCCTCTGCATCTTCCTCTGAGGAAGATGGGAGACACATCCTCGCTTCTGTGGACTGAAAATTGAGAGAAGAATCTTTCTCCTCCTACCCTGAGCCTTATATTCTGGAATGTTTTTTCTTCTGAAATTCTTAAAGGGTTGGAGGAAACTGTGTGGGAGTGAATGCATGTGTTTGCATGTACCTGAGCATGCTTGTTTATGTGTATTTGTGGGGGGGGCGGGGGTGGAGAATGCATGTGTGTGTGTGTGAACTGGATGTAAGCAAAAGGAAGTTGACAGGTAGCAGAGCTGAACGCTTTGCTGACCTGCTGGACTTTGATCATTAGGCCTGTGCAGATGGGGGATCTTCAGTGCTGGTGGTGGTGACCCTGCTGTCTGACCTCATGTCTTCCAGCTACCCACGTGGAACATCCATTGTGTCCTCCAAAGCCAGGTTTTGTGCGAGGATTTAACCATCCATGTGGGTGCTTCTGTGAACCTCTGCCAGGGTAAGGAAAGTGGGTGGAGGACTTTGTCCCAGACATAACCGTAGCACCTCTGTGAACTCAGAAAACAGGCACTTTGATTGTAACCCACAAAGATAATATCCATGTTACAAAATGCCCTGTTCACACACAGGTACCCAGAGACTCGATGTACCATTGTAGGTGGCTTCTGGGAAAGCTGTAAGGAAGTGTTACTCAGATTAATTTTGATGCAAGAATTCCTCTCTCCATCACTTCAGGACAGGTCAGGCAAAAGACCCAGAGACATTAAGCAAATAAGGAAACTGAGGCTTAGATGGGAGATGTGTCTGTAGTCAACGGCTAGGACGACAGTGCAGTGCCTGAGCTCTGGATCTTCTGTACTCTCTGAGGACACCCACCAGACTGGAGTGGCTACAAGGAACAAATTCCCACCCTATGTTGTACCTAATGACCACTCCTACTTTACAAGAAATGGAAAGTTCCATGACCATGTTGTGACCCGGTTCTAGAAAGGAGCTGGGGAGCCCTGAATAGACTTACAGACACTGCCAGAATCTTGCCAGGAGCTCTCTAGATAATGAGTTACCTGAAGGTGATGGGTTTATTATGAGCACTAGCCAAGTTAACAAGGAGAGGGATTGCACCTGCTGCTGTGGCCCTTTGTTTCCTGCAGACAGCCAGAGGGGAAGGCGTGGGCTTCCCCACGCAGTCCCAGGAGGCACTCTGTGCTTAGGATATTACTAAAACCCAGACAGAACACCCCCATGGAACACTGTGTCTACTAAGCTGGCTCTCCAAACATCTCTTGGAAGGCTTTTCTTTTTTTTTTTTTTTTTGTCGGTTTTTTTTTTTAGTTTTTTTATTTTTTATATATTTGAATTACAAACAAGATTGAATTACATGACAATCCCAGTTCCCTTCTCCCTTCCTTCCTCCCCTACCACCCCTCCATCTAAAATTCTATCATATGTCCTTTCTTCTAATCTACACCTTTCTGCTTCCTCATGACCTCTGCATCCTTCCTTTTCTTCCCTTCTCACTCTCATAGCTTCCTCCCCCCTCTTCCATGTTCTTAAATGTTACAATTTTGAGTTTGACAGTAGTAAAGCCATGCTGCAACATGCAGACATGCACACAGCTTTTGCCCCAGTACTGAGGAGACCAGAGTCTCTGGCTTGGGCCTAGGAAACTACTGTTGACCACTTTCCTTCCTCTCTTCCCAGCAGACAGGTGCTGAGACCTTCGATTCCTTTCCAGCTTGCCAGGCATATTGCAGCAGTGTCTAGAGCAGAGCCTTTTCTCCTTGAGGCCGAATCTCAGGGATGGCTTAGGGAATACTCAGTATGCAAGCTTTAGGTCATGTAACAATGGTGACCGCCCAGGTCCTATATAGGGAGTGGGTAGGATGAAGAGATTATATAACTAGCCCAAGATCACAAGCCAGAAAGTGATAAAGCCACAGCTTAAACCCAGCCATCTGTCTTTGATAGTGACTGTGTAGGGTTTTTTTTTTTTTTTTTCTGTGTTAAAAAAAAAAATCTGTTCTCTGAAGGCTTAATTCTGATGGGGCAGAAGACAAACAAGGCACAAATGAAAGTAATTGTGCTATATGTACACTAGGAATTACTACATATTAAGTGCTGTGTAGAAAACTAAAGGGTGATGAATGGACCTTGGGTAGGGTGGAAGTGAGTCACCCAGGAGGTCAGCAAACACCTCCCTGATAGGAGCCTCTCAGATCACAGTGGCCCATGCATGTGCAAGGTCCCTCTGGGTGGAAGCAGGTGTGGGTAAAGGGAAACTGGAAGGAAGCCACTGAGTTGGATCAGGGAAGAGCCAGAAAGTACAGTCATTGAGGAAACAGGGCCAGACCCTGCCAGACACTGTTGTCTGAGTAACCTGGAGCTTTAGAATGGTCTGAGCAGCCACAGCAGGACTTCAGTGTAGGCTTCTCTGATGTGCCCAGAGTAGATGGAGCCGTGAATCAAAGCAAGAGGCCTCACTGGGGAGCGAGGCTATATCCTGGCCCGAGATGGAGGTGGCTGGGCTCAGACTATCTGTGATAGAGGGAAAGCTGTCTTGGAGGGCAGGGCTGTGTTTGGAGGAGGCAGCATTGGAGCTGCATTTGTGGTACACCCTACTGTGCATGCAGGGAACATTCTTCGTGCTCCACATGTGTTGTCAGTACAAACTCCTGGCTCCCCCTGTGATAACAGCTGTGATGCCCCTGGGCCCCCTTTTAGCCACTTTGGCTTACCCCATGGGTCTCTCCCCTTGTAGCTGCCTCTCCTGAGATGCTGCCCTATCAAGCCCAGGGCTCCCCTGAGAGAAATGTGGTCAGTAACTCAGATTTCTTACTTACCTGTTCAAGTTTCCAAAGAGAACACAGAAGAGTGATGATGAGGGTGGCCTGAGCTGGGGGCAGGGGGAAGGCCACACACAGAGAAAGGGCCCCAGAATTGGTAGGAGGTGGCAAAGGAGGGAGAAGATGGAATCTGACAGCTGAGAATTTGAGATCCAAAGGGAGCCCTGCCCCCAGAGCGCCCCCCAACAAGGGTAAAGAATTGCCATTCTAGAGCAGTCCAGGTACTCCTACATTGCTCATCCGCTTGCCCTGTCCTCTTGAGGCCTCAGTACAGCTGCAGTGTGGGAGGGGCTGTAGAGTCTTGAATACCACAAGTTCCACGTCAGAGAACCTCTGAGGTGCAATGTTGTGTGGTTTTTCTGATGAGACCAAAGTTGTGGATAGTATCATTCAGATAAAATGCCACATGGTGGGGGAGGGAAGGGATGCCACATGCTTTCTCCAAACCTGGCCACTGCAGAGTTTGTGACCATGAGGACCCCTCCAGGTTCCTCTTTGGTCATGCACTACTTCTTCTTTTGTGTGGAATCTGATTTTAGCTTCTGGATTAACCTAATCATTGTTGCTACTTCACCAGTAGATGGAACCCTGCATTTGGGCGTCTGCCACCCCTTGCCAAAGTCTCCACACACATGTAGAAATTAGCCCTCAGGTCTCTAAAACCCAGCTCAAAATCTGAATTTAAGGTTCCATTTTCCCCCTAAAATATGATTGAGGATTTCCCAAGACTCCAGTCCATAGAAATTATAGTTACCATTATGTAGTATGTTTTGAATTAATATTGAGCAATCTAAAAAAAAATCTGTTCATAAAATAGTAGTAAATGAATTGCATGCTAAGTAGCAATTTTTTAAAAGAAAAATCAGCTTTTCTAAATAAAAACTGAGAAGAATGGCAATCTTTTCCAGTTTCTCCAATTTCTTTCATGTCAGACATAATAAACACATCTGTGACAGAGTGTGCTGTGGGGTCACAAGTCACATAGGCTAAAAACTCCACTGTGTGTTCATAGAAATCATTGCATGGAAGGAGTTTTAACCTTGCTGACCTGGAAAGGGCCAGGATGTCCCAGAAGTCGCCAGCCATCAAAAACACAGCTGTTAATAGTCACAAGGAACATCTGCACACCCACCCAGGGCATGGCATCAGCCCCCCAATGTGTTTGCAGTGGGCTGGGCAGTGTGTCTCCTAAAAGATACATTATTATCCAGAACAAGGTTGAGAGGAACCCTGGGTACTGAGTCTGGAGCAGGAGTAGAAATGAACACGGTGTCTGGGCTGCTTCTGCTGGTCATGGCTCTGGGCTAGATACTTCTGGGGTACATATCTAACCCACCACTGCTGTTTCTTTCTCAGGGAGCCTAACAAAACCAAGCTGGTCACATTCTTCCAGACAGACCTGAGTGGCTACCTCCCTCAGAGTGTGGTAGACTCCTTCTTCCCTCGCAGCATGGCTGAGTTCTACCCCAACCTTCAGAAGGCAGTGAGGAAGTTCCATCACTGATACAGTCGCCTATTGGAAAGAAATGCCCTTCAGGAGCTCCAGCTGTTGTGCCTCAAAGAACACAGAAGAGCTACTGTGGCTGTTTGAGATGCCCTAGTGAACAGGAAGTCTTGGGGAGCCAGCCTAGGATAGCATCCCCACACACACCTCTCCTTCCTCTTGGGCTTGGTGTGGAAGAAGCTGTCCATCAGTTGCACACCTCTCCTTCCTCTTGGGCTTGGTGTGGAAGAAGCTGTCCATCAGTTTGCAGTGGTACACACACACACACACACACACACACACACTTGGCAGGACAGGTCCTGCTATGGCCACTTTACAAAGACATAGCTCAAACACCCTTTGGTTCCTTGTGGTCCAGGGTCCTGTGCGTTGCTGTCAGACACCTTGTCTCTCTGCTGGTCTTAGAGAATCATTGTCTATCCTGGTCACTAAGTCCTGCTTCCTCGGGCATCTGGAGCACCCAGACTTTTGTACCAGACTCCTGTGTTCATTTTGTGATAAATTTTATATACAAATTTTTAACACAAGACTTTCCCCTCCTTACAAAGACATAAACTTGGAAAATATATTTTAAAGCACAGACTGAGCCTTAAGGAAAAACACTTTCTACCTAATGTTTGTTGTATCTTCCATCAGAATTGTCTTTTCTATCTGTTTGTCCCTTCATGAGTTAATGTTCATGTCCCCATGAAACCAGCTTGAATCTGCCCCGGGCCAAATTATATCTTTGGGAAGGAATGGGAGTTCTTGTGTCCTGTGTGAGTGATTCCGAGTAGGGCCAGCTACTCCTGTGTGCATGGAGGACTCTGGGTAGAAGAGCCCCCTGGCATATACCTGACTCTGTCCTCAGTCATGGGGGTGAGGCAAGAGTGCTCTGGTTTTCTGGATCCATCAGGCCTTGCTGCCATTAGGAAGGAAGGAAGAATAAGTCTCCTGTGCTGTGGGACTACATAAGCCTACAGTATCTAGCAATTGCCACAATACTGGCCATTCCAGTAGGGACAAATGCTGTCTCCTTTCTTTTCAAATACATGTAGGTTTCTGCCTTTCAGGTGAAGAAAGGAGAGATCTCTGTTGGCTGACATTGTGATTGCTTAAAGACTCTTCAGAGATATGGTGCCCCTCACAGTCTTTTAGTAGCTTTTAATAATTCCTCTACTCTTCCTTTATTTGTTTCTCACATCATTTCGAGGGAGGAAGGAAGTCTAGTCAAAGGGCTCATTTGGACACATTTGCATTTTGATGAGGCTGGTTCAGACATTCCCACACTCTGTCTAGATCTGTCTGGATTTCCTGCTGCTGCTTTGTTCCCTGGAGTTTGGATACTAACTGTTGATCTCCTGTTGTCTCTCTCTGGTTTTGTCTCCTCTGTGTTAAGCCTGCTTGCTTTACCGTTCTTTTGAAGGTGATCCACCTTGTTTTTTGAGACAGACTTTCTAATTGGACTGAAAGTCACCTAATAGGCTAGGCTGGATGCCCAGCGAGTTCTAGGAAGCTGTGTCTTTCTGCTTCTCCGGGTCTGGGATTACAAGTGAATGTCACCATGCCTGGTTCTTTTGTTTCCATTTGTCTATTTGGTTGTTTGGTTTTATTTGTTTTTGTTTTTCTGGTCTCTGGGGATGAAATTTGAGTCACCATGCTTGATTGGCTTTTAAGCCCTTTCCTGACAGCTATCTCCCCAGCCCCACATCTTTTATTGTTAGATCAAATATAACTTCTAATAGTTATCAAAGGCTGCTAGGAATGGTATCCTGAATTTTTCATCTACTTTTGACTGCTACAGGATGTAATTCCAAGTGGGCTGGAGAAGCATGCTCAGAGTAGGTGAGACTGAGCTATACAAGAGTCACTGGAGGGCTTTGCATGAAGAGAAGAGCACAGTGGAGGCTTCTGAGTCCACTTCAAATTCTGGAGAGGCCAGCAGGTTACATTGGCAAGCTCCCATTGCAGTGCCCTGAAATATATGGGCTCTGGTGTTTTGCCTGTGACACTTGCCAGGCCTTCAATGTCATCCTTATTTCAGAGGAGTGGGGATGAGGAGCTGAACCCCTGGCCCAAACCTACTAACCCATACTTGCTATGAATCATCAAGATTCACATTGAGTTGTCCCGAGCTTGGCTATCAGATATTCAAAGGTGACCGAAGCAAATATTCTATTGGTCCTGCACATGCTGAGAACTGGCTGAGAGGGTGTCTTTCCTAGTGTGCTGTTATAACTCTCCTGGGCCTGCTTATGTCTACCAGGTCACAGAAGGAATGACAATCTCTGCCCACCATATCCCAGCCAGACAAGCCATTCATTGTCCTGAGGCTTAGTACCTTCCAATACACCAGCACAGGACCACCATTGTTGAAGTGGTGGTAATTACACATGACTGTCATTTAACATCAAGCAGAATGCCTGACATGTGACAGATGGGACATCGGTAGAAATTTGTATTTTACATTTTACACCCATATCCATTCTGGTTCATCCTGTGAACACATCTGTCTACACCTTAACTCACAGCGCACTCCTCTATCTCCTGGTTCCACCCTTTCTAGGATCACTTCTCAACCTAACCAAATAGTCTTTTGCTTGTTTGAAAGTGTTTTTCATGACTGGTTGCATCTTACAAAAATGTTCCTGACAACATAATACCCTTTCCTTGAGTCCAGGCAGGTTTTGCCTGCTGTCAGTGAGAATACAATGCAAGCAATGCTATGAGTCTTTGAAGGTAGAACATTTAAATAGATGCAGCTCCTGTCTGGCTATGGTATGTGTACCAGGCAGCCTGGCATCACAGCACAGAAGCCCAAGCCATGAAAAGACCACTTAGTTATCACTCAGAACCAGCAACCAGAGATACAAGCAGTGACCCTTCCTAGGACCCCAGCCCAACCTTGAGTTGCTGTAGATGATGCTTAGTGGGGCCAAAAGGAGCTCCAAGTCCTGCCTATCCTGCAGATTCATAAGACAAAACTTGCTGCCATGGGGTGGCTTTCATAGTACCTGGGTAATGTTCAAATCAGGACATGGGTTTCATAGAAAACTGCAATACACCCAATTTATTTTGGCACCAGAATAGTATCACTAAGCTGTCTATATACAGTCTGCAAGTTGTATCAGCCACTTCTGTGTGACTCTGTCCTGCCATTTAGAATAACCCTCTTGGTGGGTAGTGTCCCAGAAAGTCCAAACCTGAGCAGCAGCTACCAGAAGCACACCTGGGCTTTCCCCAGCCTGGGTGAGGTGGGCAGCAGAGACCCTGAGAATCGGCAGTGATGGGAGCTTCATGCTCCTGCATTGTCGTAGCATCGGCATCTTGTCTAGGGGTCCCCAGAAGCTATCATCTGCTTGCATTGGAGGCCCTTCCTTCTTATGACTACAGTGACAGGCCCATCAGGCAATGCCTTGATGACATTCCAGGCTTCAAACCGAGTAAGACCTTGCACGGCAGTGCCAGCGAGCTGCAAGATTTCATCTCCTTGCTGGACCGACTCACTCTGTTCTGTCCCTATAAAGAAGGAGAACATGGCAGGTGATTCTGGGCTTCACAGACAACGGGAAGAATAAAAGGCACTTTCTGAGGAACCAGGACAGCCAGAAGTGGGTCACACACCCATCCCTGGGAGCCTGTCTGTGGTTCTAAAGTGAAGCATTTCACAGCAAGGTAGTTCAGAGTTTGGGAACCAAGACTCAGCTCTGTTTTCAAGTGAGGAGATGACAGGCAGTTGGTAGGGAGAAACCCTGGTCACAGGTATGTAACAGGGGTTTAAGAAGCAGGGAGAAAGGCACGTGGCACTCTTGCTAGGCTGAGCTGAAGGAAAAAGCTTATAGATTCAAGATACCTTTATTCAGATAAATACCAGCCAAACACAAGCCAGAGCATGCCCAGGGGCAGCAAGGCAGGGAGGCCAGAGAGAAGGAGCAGCCGAAGGGGAAGAGAATGTTCCATGTGCTCCTGGTTGCTTAAGAGCTGATGCCACGTTACTCTGACCTCACCTTGACCACGCCTTGACAGGCGTGGTCAGGCACATCTGTAGCCAGCCCTTAGAAGGCGTGGTTACGGTGTCTCCCTACACTGAGTGGACTGAGAAGTATTTCTGGGTCTGTCCTTGCATGAGTATTTTCCCCTATCTCTGGCTACATCTTGTATTCATCAATAGCAGTCCCAAGCCAGAGCCCAGTTAGACACTTCTACAATTTCTAGAGAAGCCCTGGAGCTCTGGGTCCTCTCCTTATCTATCCTACTTCATACTGACTCCCTTCTTCTGGTAATATCATTAGCAATGGGTGAGAAGGGGTGTGAGTTAGTGAAACATTCGTGAAGCAATCTTCACAGGGTTTTTGGCTTGTTTGACTGGGGGAGAACTCTGTGTCCACCCAGAAAGACCTGCATAGCACCCACTCAATCAAAGATGCATACAGAAACCATGACATCTTCTTTTACTGTTCATATTGAAGGGAAACCTCCCGAATTTATCTGATACCATGGCCTTTACCAATATTGAATATAGAGTATAGAATGATAATGAAAATATAGAATATTGAGCAAGTACCACAATGGGCATTGACCCACATGTTCTGTACTCATGTACCTTGGGGTACACACCAATAGACTCCCTTTTTACAGGTGCAGAGACCAAAGATGGAAAGCCTCACTCAGAACTTGAAAGTGGCTCAGTTTTTAGGTCTAGGTTTAAACTTTGACCTCCAGGCTCTGGCATCCACATCCCATAGTGCCACACCTTCCTGTGGCTGGAGGCTCATTCCCATGTACACTCGTGGACCCAGAATAATGAAGTGACTTGCCCAGGGTCCTGCCACTGGACATGGCGAAATTAACATTAGAACCCAGGTCTCTCAGCTTCGGCTCCCTCAAGAGCTGAAAGCATTTCCCCAGAGCTGCAGTTAGCATGGACACTTGGAGTTAATTACCATGTATGACTCAGTCTACCCACTGGTTTTCATGAATGCTGCAGAATTTAAAATCAGCTAGCCATGAAGGCTCATGAGGACAGGTATTAGGGATGAGATGCCCTTTGGATCCCAGTTCTAAAAGCTCCCAGATACACACCCATACTTTTTACCTCTTCTTATGGATAAGGAACCTCTAGACAGGTAAAGTATGGTCACCTGGCAAGTTAGAGACAGGGCTGAGACTACACCCAGAGCCTGGCTTCTAACCAACATTTCTTTCTCCACATCCCTTGTTCCCTTGCCCAAGGCTTCCACCTAAGAAATGGCAAGAAGTTGCAGGTAGATTTGCAGGGTAGCTACAAGGTGTTCATAATTGTCTCAGGAATAATCCATATCCAACTAACCAACATGTCACATTGTCTGGCAGCCCAATTCATAATGAATAAGACATCAATTGGAAAATAAACACAAGAACCAATGAATCCAGGACTAGAGTAAAGCTAGCCAGACTGTGAGACAAGTGCTAGCCTCTGGTTTTACTCAAAACATTGGCATCTTATGCATTGTGGGTTGGTTGGTTGGTTGGTTGGTTGGTTGGTTGGTTGGTTGGTTGGAGACAGACTCATATAATCCAGGCTGACCTTTTACTCACTATGATCTGGAACACCTGAGTGTCTTGTCTTCACCTGAGTGCTATCACAGCTGTATAATTTTTAAGTTTAACATTTATTTTTGAGTACACTGTGTGAAAATGGTATTGATCTTTCTCAATGCATCTTTCGGTAGCCCTCAACTCTGTGCTTCAAGCCAGAGTCTTCCTTGCCTCTTCATGTCCTTGGTCCTGCCAAGCTGAACCAAGCCTGTTGTGGGATGTTTGTTCACTATGTGAAAATGTATTTCTGTGATTGGTTTAATAAAGAGCTGAATGGCCAATAGCTAGGCAGGAGGTATAGGCTGGACTTCTGGGAAGAGAGAGGAAGTAGGGAGAGATCATTGAAGTGCAGGGGAGACCCCAGGAGAGAAACCAGGAAGTGCAAGATAGAAGACAGGTTACACCACATGATAGAATGTAGATTAATATAAGTGGGTTAATCTAAGTTATAAGAGCTAGTTAGGAACAAGCCTAAGCTATAGGCCGAGCTTTCATAATTAGCAATAAGTTTCTGTGTTATTATTTGGGAGCTGGCTAGCAGGACAGAAAAAGACTCATTACACAAGCCTAGTACTCAGTCATGTGAGAGGACCCAGCAAAAAGAGAAGTAAAGGCATGGCTGAGCAAGGGCACAAGGTGAGAAAAGCAGAACTGAATGCATAGGGTCAACACGTGACTCAAAGGGCGTGGGAATCGACAGTGGCCCAGAAGGGTCTCAGGAGTTTTGGGTTTTGAGTGCTTGCTGCATGCCCACAACTGGAGAGGGTATAGAGGGGAAAAGGGCCCACCTTTGAAAATCCTGTTAATGGTGAGAGGCTTGTCTCCATGCAGGGAGCCTTTTCCTCCCTCCAGGCTGAAGCCCAGCCCTGCAGAGGTCTTCTCCAGTGTCACTGTGCAGACAGTGGCCTCCACTGCAGAGAAAAGCACATGGGCTTGGTCAGTGCTCTGCTCTTCTCGCAGGCCCAGCTGCCCAGGTTGATATCAGCTATTTAACCACACACACGGAAACACAGACTCACATCTCTGCAGCACACCAGGCAAGCTGGAAAGGTGTATTGGGGCTTCACATTACCACACAGTGCCACCAACAATGGATCTAAATGGCCAAAGGCAGTCAGTATGGGGCTCACGTGGGGCCTTTCCGCACGTGAGTCCCCATCCCACTGCACTGGGAACACTTACTAGATTCTACTGAAATGTCACTGGCTGCTGAAGATGATGCTGCAGAGTCAGTAGAGGAGTTCAGGTCATGAGTGGCATCCACAGTTGCTTTCCTGGTGACAATCACAGCTTGCCTTGGGTCCCGAGCTTGGCGGAGGATAGCTAGGGCATCATTGTGGGTAGCCCCCTTGAGAGATTTGCCATTGATGGAAAGAACCTCATTGCCTTTTTGAATTGTGCCTTCCTGGGAAGCCAGGCCATTTGGAAACACTCTGTGAACCTAAACAAGCCAGAGGAATTAGGACCCCCAAACCACCCAAATCAGCTCCCATCTGTGATAGCAGGGCACTCCAAGCCAAGTATCCAGCCAACCCCAGAGGAGTTTAAGCCAAAGACAATGTAACAAGATAAATTAAAGACCCAGAGACAGATATTGGGGTTCAAGCTGAGGGTCAGATGCTTTTTGAATCCTCAGGCAGGCTTTAATAAATGATAAATAATTTACCACTACAGACAACATATGTTGATTATATCTCAAGGCAGAGCAACAGGCCTGAGCCAGCATTCTTTCCTTTCCTTCTCTAGTCAGGGCAGAAACCAACAGTGATAGCCAGAGAGCCCTCAACATTCTTCCCACACAATGCCCTTGACTGATCCTCCAGTCCCATTCACTCCCAGGGAACATCTTCTGCCTTATCTACCCTGGATCACATTTCTAAGAATGGTTTCCTGACAAAATTGAGTCTATGGCTTATTGAGGGGTGTTTACAAGAACAATTTTCTAAGAAAAGAGAAATTTTGGGATACCACATTAAACAAAATCTCCCAAAATTTTCATTGTTTAAAGATGCTAGCAATCCTACAATGTCAGTTTGATCTTGGTTCTCTTGAGTAAGTAATGTAATAACATGGTGACTCCCCAAACACATAAGGAGAGCTTATCCCTTCTGGGGATGCACTCAGGTCTCATTTTCTATAGGAAGTACTTGAGGCACTGTCTTAGGCTGCCTAGACATCCTCATTCTTTAGCTGGTCCCTTTCCTCTTTCTGTAGGAAAAACAACAACAACCCTATCTTATGGCCAGAAAGAAAGACAGCTCAGGGGGTAAGGTCCTTGACACCATACCTAGAAGCCTTAGTTTGAGCCCCAGATTCCATGCCACACAGCCTGGATCACGAAGTCAGAGGGCCTGAGAATATCCCAGTCAGCAACTGGTGACCTGAGGCTGTGGGTGAGGACAGTAGCCCATGCTGTTCAGATCAACTAGGCCAGGATCAACTATGGGTCCACAGGGAAAGATGCCTATAATACAGATCTGCTGCCCTTTCCATGCTAGTCCAGACTCTGGGTCCTGCAAAACAGGAGGCTGCTACAAGTTCTGCAGACTTGTGTGAACACTGTGGTGTGTGTAGCCTGTGCAAGCACAGTAATCACTTCCACCTTTTGGCTGGATCCCACTGAGCTCAGCCAACCAACAAGTCAACTTCACAAACTGTCCACTTGAACATTCTCATTCTACAGATAGACAGAATCAGGGCAGCCCCTTCCTTTGTAAGGATTTGCCTTCCATGAGCTCCTTTATACATAGTGCAAAAAGTCTACAGTCCTAGACAAGTTTTTAAAAATGCCCTGTGGCTATAAATTGTACCTATCCAAAATCCTAGTGACCATCACAATCTACATCTCCAAAGGAAATTATGTGGTATTTTGCTATAGTTGGCCTGAATTCACTGTGTATATGCACACACGCATGTATGCACATTTGTGTGCTTTTGCAGCAACATATGATGTGTGCACACACATGTGGAGACCATAGGACAACCTCGGCTGTCACACATTAGGCATCATTTCCTTTGTTGTTTTTTAAGACAGGGTCTCTCAGTAGCCTGGAATTTGCCAAGTAGGGTAGGCTAGCTAACCAGCTGGGAATCTGCCTGTCTTTGCTTCCCCAGCTCGGAAATTATAAATGCACCTCCATTCCCAGCTATCCTTTAACACAAGTTGTGGGACTCAAGCCTAGCTTCCCATGCTTGCAAGGCAAGTGCTTTTGTTGACCAAAATATCTTCCCAATTGCCTCCATTTTTAATTCATCCTCCACATATTTTCAAAAATATAGGTATTAGGGCTTTAAACCATGCAAACTTTCCATTCGGATGTTCTGGTGTAGAATGAGTGTATGCATATACATGTGTGCATGTGTACACATGTAATCACACATATACACACTATTTTTTGATGCCCCATGTGTAATTAGTGTTTGTTTTGGGGTGCTGGGGCCCTTTAGGGTGCACAGGGACCTTTTTCATTGAGAGGCACAAAATGTCGAAGAGTTAAGTCTGGATCAGATAGTAGAAGAACGGTTCCAATGACTTTCCTTTAAAACCCCTGTCCTTACCCTGCCCAGTGTTTCTCAGCACAAGCCCCCTTCCAGGCAAGTCTTTGCACCCCCAGCAATCCATTCTGCCTCTGGCATGCCGATTCCTGGGCAACTCACCGTGATCACCTTGTTTTCTAGATCTGCCCCTCCTGCCAAGCTGAACCCAAGGCCAGCGCCTTCTTCCTTGTGTAAGATGGTGACATGAATGCTGTCTAGTTGCTGTGGATGAAAATACATACATTCACAAACTGGGTACTGCAGTGGCGGCGGTGGGAACAATTTAACACATGCTTTAGCACCATGCTGGTTTGTTTTATTAAACACCAGCTGGGCCAGTACTAACACCTCCTCAGACTTCAGTTTCATCACACAGGAATTACAGGATGCTTAGGAGGGGAAACAAATGTATGTAAAACAGCAATCCCAGCCTTTTTCCTCTCTTACTCACCCATTCATACCCAACTTCCACAGACTGGGCTGCATATGGCTAAGTCAGCTAGAGATCCCTTCAGGCTGGAAGATGCTGCTTTTCCCGTGACATTGTGGGTCAAGGGCAGGTGGTGCCATGTGGGTCAAACTCTCAGAGGCCAGTGCTGTTTCACAATTGCTAGCTGCTCCCTCTTCTACCAGCATAGTACCAGTAAGGAGCCCAGCTGGCATCTCACTCCATCATTTAAGCATGTACCAATGTGTACACACACACACACACACACACACACACAGAGAGAGAGAGAGAGAGAGAGAGAGCGAGCGAGAGAGAGAGAGCGAGCGAGAGAGAGAGAGCGAGCGAGAGAGAGAGAGCGAGCGAGAGAGAGAGAGCGAGCGAGAGAGAGAGAGCGAGCGAGAGAGAGAGAGCGAGCGAGAGAGAGAGAGCGAGCGAGAGAGAGAGAGCGAGCGAGAGAGAGAGAGCGAGCGAGAGAGAGAGAGCGAGCGAGAGAGAGAGAGCGAGCGAGAGAGAGAGAGAGAAAGAAAGAGAGAGAGAGACAGAGACACAGAGACACAGAGACACACAGAGAGAGAAACAGAAACTCCCAGCCTGAGAGAGAGAGAGAGAGAGAGAGAGAGAGAGAGAGAGAGAGAGAGAAAGAGAGAGAAACAGAAACTCCCAGCCTGGAGCCAGGAAAACCTTATTGCACTACCCAAAAGCAGGGGATCCCATTCTAGTCTAGAGCTGGAACCTGGAGCTCCAGAGCCCACAAAATCCAGGGAGGTCACATACATAGGCAAGATGGACAGGCATAAGTGACAGGCTCAGAGGGCAAGTTAAACACATCCAATTCTGAGGAAGGCAGACTCAGTGCTACTGGCTCATTCCCTTTAAACAAAATAGTCAGAAATCTTAGGACTTATTTTTAGAATCTGATAACTTTAAAAGATCAAATAAAATTTATTTTCAAGCCAATGGCTCTTGGACCACTAGTTTGTAAATGGCACTAGGAAATAAAAACATGGCCAAGCAGTCCCTTGGTCATGGGCTACTAGAGCCCCTCACTTGCAAGTCTTCTGCCATCTTTTAATGGGGAGTTCCTAGGACAGAGTAGTATTCTGAGTCTGAAGGCCCCATTGACCCCATGTTTGCCCACATACTTGGGATTATTTTCAGGCTTTTTTTTTGGGGGGGGTGTCCTGTGGACGGCTGCCATGCTATAAATAAATAAATAAATAAATAAATAAATAAATAAATGTCTTCTGCTAACACTTTCATCTCCAGCATATTATTTGCATTGATTCAGGCCCTGGGGACTGGTGGCTCATGCTGGCTATAGGTGATTAGTGAGAATCTCAGAGGAAAAATTACAGCCCAGAGGCATCTTGGAATCATCATTCTCACCTGCACCTTTGACCTCAGGAGGGCAGCTGTGACTCTTCCAGTTGAAAAGGATAGTCCTCACTCCTTAGGCTGCATTATCTCAGTGCAGGCCCCAACAAGTTTCCAGAGAGCTTGAGCCCGTCTCTGGACTGCTGGCTCTAGCTCTGGCTGGGCCACTTCCTCTCTACACACTGTTGGCAGTGTTCAGCAACTATGGGGCAAGTGGGGTTTTCCCAGTGAGGTGGCTGAGGCACAGAGGCCCTCCGGAGAGCACCTTGATGTGTGCAGCGGAAACGATGAAAGCCTCAAGGTGAGAGCTTGCCTCATCTATGCTGTTTACCACTGGCAATGCTATGGCTTGCCGCTTCTCTCTGGAAACTCGTGCCAAGGCAGCAGCCCATGGGATGTTGGCACAGCACTGGACTTGAGCTTAGAGACAGAGCACCCTGGCTCTGTGATCATCAACCTCCTTCTCATTCATAAAATGAAGGGCCTGGCCACACCCTCAGCCCTGCTACACACACACACACACACACACACACACTTCCCATCCCAGCTAAGGTCATGTTGTTCCTCTAACATGGACAGGACAAAACCTCGACCTGATGCCAGCACCATGACAAGCCTTGAGGTCCATAAACTTCTTTAGCTACTTACCCCCTCTGGCCCAACTGAGGTGACCACAACAGCCCATGTGGAGCCCTTGTCACTGCAGATGTGCACACAGGAAACCTACCTTCAATGTCGCCTCGTCTAGAACTCTCACTTCCTCGATGAGTTTTTTCAGTTCTTCTGAGCTCAGCAAGGAGATAACTGACTGGCCGGGCTGAGAAGAACCGTGGTCCCTGTCCTCAGTTTCCCGGGGCTCCGTGAGGCTCTCTGAATATTCCCTCAGCTCTGAAAGGCTTTCACAAACAGATAACACAGTGTGAAGAACAGGATTCTTGAACTACTCCATCCTGCAAGGGACTCAGAGTTTCAGAAACTCTGTTATTTGATAATGACATATCCATCCTTGGCAGCATAAGCAATAAATAAATCACAGCCGATTCGAGCTGGATAGACCCAGTCCTTCAGGAGAGGGCTTCAGATCCCCCTACCAAGCCATGTCTGTGACAGGTCTCATCCACCTCCTAACCCCGGCTAAAGAGGGAAGCAAGGTACACAGGGCAGGACTCTGTTCATAACAAGAAGAGTAAGGGCCTGAACTGAAACAGGACTAAATGCCCTTACTCCCTGCCTAGGTCCTGGGCCTATGTGAAAAGCAAAATGGATTTTTGTTGGAGAGCATCTCTTCACCTCACCTGGAGCTCTTTAAGCTGTGAGTGGACCTTTCAGATATGCATCAGCCTCGTGTGTGTTTGTGAGCAGTTTACCAGGGCCCTGGTCATTTTCCCCACTTCCCATCCGAGCCATAGTCAGGTATTGTGTAAACTACTCCTTAGCACGGAAGACAGAGCTACAATGCACATGTGCACACACACACACACACACACACACACACACACACACACACTCACATGAGATGAAATGGTTTTTAACTAGAAATGTGACTGAGAAATGTTTAACTGCTGCATAACATAAAATAAAGGAGTGGGGACAGCAGGAAGCAAGCAGGGCACAGACACTCACTTGAGGGAAAACCCTGTGTCCGAGCCAACGACTTCACCAAGACCTTCTGTAGCTGTGTTGCTATTGGAAGGTGGCTTTGGAGACATCCTTTCCTTGGGGACACAGGTGATCTGGCCACAGGAGAATGAAGATGGAAGGCACAGCAGGGATTTCATGACAGCTGATGATAACTGGCTGCTGATGGAGTAAAGCTTACTGGCCTTTTCATCCATCAGCTTTGACTCACAGGACTGAGTCCTAGTCAGGGGAAAGCTCCGTGCCCGCTGACTTGGCATCTTGAGGCCTGGTCCTTGAGTGTCCTCAGTATGTGTAGTCAGCAGTCTCAGGAGAGGGTCTGGGGAGAGAGCTTTGGGGCTGGGTCGCTGACGTGGGGGAGGAGACTCAGACATACCTGGGTCCCTGATCTCTGAGGTGTTAGGAAAGCCTATGGCTATAGGCTCTATTTCTATCTGTCTGTACTTAGCAGAGACTGTAGTCCCTCGTCCTGAGAGACCAGAAAACTGTCCTCCATCTTGCTTTCCTGGAAGTTTGGTGGTCTCCCCAGAGCTGGGCTGCAGGCTCAGTCTCTGGACTCCTCTCTCTGGCAGTTGTGAGGAGCCAAAGTTTTCAAAAGAGCTGATTCTCTGCCTGATAGAGGAGGAGGTAGAGGAGGAGGGGGAGGCCTTTGAGTGTGGCACTGAAGGCTCCCTGGAAACAGGTGCTGGCTGAGTAGCTGCTGAGGCTACTTCCGGGAATCTTCTGGGGTCTGGTACACGATTCCTCAGACCTTTCAAGCTCTGACGAAACCAGGCTGGCTTGGGGGCCACTGGGGGCCCCTTCTTCACAGTGCAGCCATCTGCTGACTTGTGAACTCTGGGAGCACCATTGGCAGTGTCCATTTTTGACAGGACCCCTTCTGGGTGGCCCTGTGTCCCATCCTCTTCACCCAGGCTGGTGGTGGCCTGTAGTGGCATATGGCTATGGTTCTCACTCATGATGGGGCTAAATAAGTTTTTGATGCAGTCGGAAATTCTAACCCAAGGATCTTCAGTGCTGGTATCAAAGCTATAGTCCATCCGCGTCTGCCTCTTCAGCAGTGGGTGTTTTCCTGGTGAGGCTGGTGGGCAGAAACAAAGGCAGACCTGAGTGTGACACCTCACTGGGGATTTTCTTTCGAAATTCAAGTTACAATGCTGAAGAGACACGTTGGGGGCTGGCTCCAAGGACTGTTACCTAACTGGGGTGCCAACAGGCAAAACTGAAGAACCAGAGGACGGTACCTTCTACCATCTTAACGTCCTACAGCTAGATGTGTCCTTGGGAAATACTTGCACTATCATTTGACAAGAGAGAACCCTAGCAACGAAGAAGATGAGGGGCCAGGGTTGTCAAAGTCAGGCCAGACCTCATGTCACCACCTCTCTGCCCACTCTAATGTCCTCACCACTGTCTAAAGCAGTTCACACAGATAACATAGGAGAAATATTAAGTGAAAGCAATTCTTTTGCCTTTTAAACTTTCACTCCATATGCCTCATGTTGGTCATCGTATTTGATTTGGACTATCCATGTCATTCAAAAGTGGCAAGGATGAGTCTGCCTACTGGTGGGATGTGTACCACTTACTGAGGCTCTCTCATCTTGATATGAAGTCATGTGAGTGTGATACTCTGCCCACACTCAGGTCATTGACCAGCTTGCTTGGAAAATGAGCTTTCTCGATCAAAAGAACTGATAAAACTGTTCCAGGTAGAGAAAAGGCTATGTGTCATTGATTTTGAATGTTGGCTATGCATTGGAATCTGAAGGGTCCATTTCTCAGTTCTGAGCTGATATATCTGGACTATAGTCCAGGCAATCGGGATGTGGTTAACCCCATAGAGGTGTTTCATTGTATCATCCACTGTATGTCCTTGATGTTCTCAGGCTGCCATGTCCAAGGGGCAGCATGGCAAAAACTTTCTCAGAATAAGATAATATTAAACTGACATCTACCTGCATAGGCTGGGGAGACTCTGCACTCAACTCCCTTCCCTAGAAACAGGGGAGGTTGGGCCCTGAGCCCTAGCATTCGAGAGAGATACCACTGTCGGTTCTCTGTGTTTCCCATGCCTCATCCTTCTCTGCTTAAGACTAGGCTGCTTGGACCACATGTTTCAGGGAGTCTTCATATGACAATGCACCCTTGTTTGAGGAACACTGCTTCCTCCCATCTCTTGTCACAATGCCCAGCCTCTAGGGAAGTAGAACACTGAACTCTTACAATACCAAAGAAAAGCCATGCATGATCATGAAGGTCTGGATGGGCACTAGCGACTCCAGGACTTTAACAAGTATGTCTGGCCCATAGGCTGTTTCTGCATTTACAAACTGTTCAGCTATAAGGGGCTGGTATGGTAACAATTTAGAGTCCAGAGTTCTACAGGCAAGTCCACTGCAAACTAGGGTGTGTCCTCAATTAGGATAACCAAGGGAAGGAAGGGTGAGGAGGTGGAGTCTCCCTTGGTGGGGCACCTCTCCGGGTGAGATATCTAGATCATTCCACTCATATTGTCCTTTACTCTCCAGAGATCTCCATGTGCTTAAGGAATATGGTTTGTAGCCTCCCTGTTCACCCCTCTGCCACACTGGGAGCTCCTCAGGGCAGGAACCTGTTTGGAGCATCCCTTTCTCCCTCATCTTTAGCACCAAATTAGCCTCACACACCCACCGTTCACTGTGTTCTAGCTGTAGTGAGTCACTCATCAGGATTCTGTGTGGTCTTTAATACTTGCTGACCAATGAATGAACCCACAAAGGCAAAGTAAATTGCCTAGAATCACAGTTAATGAAGGGTGAACCCAGGATCCTCTATTCTTTCTAGTAAGCCAGCAAACACTCAAGCCATGCCATTGTATTGACAGATGTACCACTTGGACCATTTGCCATCCACCTCCTGGATGTGGTAACCATCAGCCAAGCCCTGCTTTTCCCATGCTGCACTCTCAGATTTGAACATAATGCATGACGCATGCTGTCTTGCTGACACCCATGTTATTCAGCTGCTCGGGATAGCTGGGTTAGCTGTGATCTTTGGACATCTTTCCATGTAGACCCTCAAGAATGGCCAGCAATTGTACCACCACCTCCCTGGCATCACCGCTTCAGCCAGGACTCTTCTCACTCTGAAGAGCACTTCCCCTGTCTACCTGCCCCAGCACCCTAGGAGCCTCACCGTCCATCAACCCCAGTCACTGGCTCTGTCTGCTGTGTCCATGCAAGGCACTGACCTCAGACCAAACTCTAGCTCCTACTTGATCCATAAAACTTTCTCCGGAGAGGTCTTCCTTTGGAAGATCCCCATGGTGGCTCACCTGGACTGGCACTCCTCCTTGGCTCCCCCTCTGTGGAGGACGAAGTCTGTGAAGTCTGTGTGCTGACTGCAGGTCCTGGACAGCAGGCAGTGGCGCAGGGGCTTCTCCCTGCAGTGTCTTCCTGAGGCAGCAGAGGCAGCAGCTCTCTGGTTTCCTGTGGTGTAAACAGGAAGCCAGACTGTGTCAAAACGGTAGCCTCCAGCTGCGAGAAGGCAAGGCACTCTTTGATTAGGACTTGAGAGTGAATATTGAGACACCCCTAAAGGGAAATTTCACAGCAGCAGTGGGGAAGCGTTCCTCCCCCAACCGCCCCCCACACACACACACAGGGCTGTCGCTGCACAGTTAACCCCTTTTGGATGCTCCCGGGGGTCCCTGGGCTTCCAACAACCTGCTGGGCCCAATATGGGCATGCCTCATAGGTACAGCAAGTTACTAGCTGTCTGCGATGGGCGCAAGAGGTCGGGGTAAAGAAGGTGCTGGCACTACTTGGCTTACAACAGCATGTTGGCCAAACTACCTGACCCAAAGGCACATGCAGGGGCCAAAGAAACTGCCCCCTAGTGCTGCCTAAGTTAAGACCTAAGACCACTCAAAAGAAAAGCATGTCAGTTGCTTCCCTTGTTGGTTTTAGGTTTTTAAAATTACATTGCTTTTATTGTGTTCCCAGCACACACATGAAGATCAGAGGACAATGTGTGGAAATCGCTTCTCTACTTCTACCACATGGGTCCTGAGGATTGGACTCAGGTCATCACTCTTGGCGACAAGCACCTTTGCCCACTGGACCTTCTTGCCAGTTGCAAATTTGTTTTCTTTTGTTTGAGGCAAGGTCTTATGTGTCCTAAGCTAGTCTCAAGATCTCTGTGTAGTCAAGGATGACCCAAAACGCTTGCATTCACCAAGGCATGTACCACCACACTGGTTTTCTGTGGTGTTAGAGGTCAAATCCAGGTTCTTGTCTGCAAGGCAAGCACTCTAGCGACTGAGCTTCACACTGAGATTCCCAGAGTAATTAGAACCTAGTCAGAATTGCGTTCTGGCTCCCCTCTGCAGCACCTAGAGAGACACCACCAATCGTCTGCAGACTTTGTTTCTCCATGCAGAGGGATGCTGCCTCAGGAATCTCCTTAAAGCAGGCTGTGAGGAGCTGAACCAGGCATCAAGTAGCCATCTACTATTTAGGTAGAGTTCCCACAAGGCCTGAGTGAGATGCAGGGTCCAGAGACAGCAGAGGGCACATTGGACCTCAGCAGCACAGAAGGCTTGCCTGAGAAATGCTTTGCATCTGCCTCTGGAACAAAACTGAGATTTTCCAGGCAACCACGCATGGCAGCAAGCATGGTGCCCTCTCTAGAAGAAAAGGCAGTGCCAGGACCCATGTAGATGATGCTTCTGACACATGTTTTTATGGAAGAGAAACATTTTGTTTTTTTGTGCTGGGGTGGCTCCCAAGACCTGTTCATTGAGGAGTCAGGCCATGATGGGCCAGGTGACAAGGCTACAGGCCTTCTTCCAGAAGAAGGACAGAAGCAGAAACACTTGCCTCATTTAGGATTAAAATAAGACAGGCCAAATGCCCGGGCTCTCAGACTTAGTGTCTCTGCTGTCTGCATACATTCTTTGGGAAAGAAAGAAGTAGAACAGTTGGAAAAAGGTCACAGTTATTGGCCAGCCCAAGGCCCCTGCTTGAAGGTGAAGACTAAAGCAAGTGTTCTGAAATATGAGGGTCAGAGCATCCAAAGAGGCCTTCCTGAGCTAGTTCCATTAGCACTTAATAGCAAGTCAACAATAACATCTGTTCTTCTCCAAGATGTTTGCCACACAGGAAAACTGACTATATCCTGTTAGGGGCTATGTGAGGTGACAGCCATCTGTACCCACAGACTGTTGGTGCTTTTACACAATGGCATAGCCAATGCCAGCAAGTCATCTTGGAAAAGACTCTGATGCATGTCTGTGGTGGATTGAATGAGAATGGCCCTCATAGGCTCATGTATTTGAGTGCTTGGTCACCAGTTAGTGGAACTGTTTGGGTAGGATTAGGAGGTATGGCCTTGTTGGTGAGTTGTGTCTCTGTGGGTGGGCTTTGAGGTTTCAAAGTCCATACGGTTCCAGTTCTCTCTCTCTCTCTCTCTCTCTCTCTCTCTCTCTCTCTGTCTCTCTCTCTCTCCTCTCATTGTAGTCTCAACATGTAAGCTCTCAGCTACTGGTCCAGCATCATGTCTGTATATCTGCTGTCATCCTCCCTATCATTATGGTCATGAACTCTAACCTCTGGAACCATAACCCTAACAAATTTTTCCATAAGCTACCTTGGTCATGGTGTATCTTCTCAACAATAGAAAAGGAACTAGGACAATGTCTGTCTGTTTGTCTTACTTTTATTTTTTTTAAATTAACTTTCTTATTTTAAAAAACCCTTATAAATAAATAAAATATCACATGCCAAAATTAACCAGACCCAAAGTCTATCCAATTTAATGAACTCATATACAGTTAGAATTGGGCTTTGAAATAAAAGTTGTGAAGCTTCACAGTCAATTTTACAATTTCGTTATCATACATATTTTCTGTACTTATCTGCCACCAAAGGAAAAAAATTCTATGATCAAATGATCATTAGAAAAATAATGTTTACAATGCCTTTCCATTGCCTGTACTCAGTCTTTCCTCATCCCTTGTGTTCAAGGTTTCTTGCTCTTCCTTCATGTTATACTGCACTCATCTGTACATTTGTTTACATGTACATATGTATTATTGGCTAGATCTCATTATTCTCAGATGAACATATGGTTTATTTCTGAGACTGTATGAACTCACTTAATATTATATGTTGTAAGTCCATCCATTTTCCTGAAAAACAATTTTCTGAGAATTTTTTACTTTAATTTTTCTTTAGAGCTGAGAAGTATTCCATTGTATGTATATCCCCTTTTCCTCTTCCTTCCTTTCTTTCCTGTGTATCTACATATACACATGTATGTATACACAAAAGTAGGTACTTATATGCCTGTGTGTATATGGGTATGGAGTCCAGAGGGACAACTTCAGGTGCTCCTCAGGAGCTGTCTGCCTGATTTTTGAGATGGTCTCTCCCTGGTCTGGCTGACTAGCAGCAAGTACCAGGAATCTGCCTGTCTCTGCCTCCCCTTGCTGGCTTGATGCTGTTGTTTTTGACATGGGTTCTGGGACTTTGCTCAGGCCCTTATGCTTCACTGCAGGCCCTATACCCATGAGCTATCTCCCCTTGCCCTCCATGTTTTACCTTTTAACCAACACCTCTGATGTTGCATTCTCTTTTGAAGAAGTCTTTAACATTAATCCTAAAATTAATTTGACTTCTGAATAAAATTTTCTCAGGCAAATGTTTTCTGACTCAGCATTTGGCGAATGAGATTAAGGGAGGGAAGAGGGCAAGAGGGTGAGAGATACGGATTCAACAGAGAAGACAATATAGTTTTCTTCAATGTGAGTGGTATATACAGTACTCACAGATGACAGAAGGGGGCCTCAGATCCCCAAGAACAGGAGTTACAGGCAATTATTAGTCACCAAGTAGGTGCTGGGCATGGAGCTCAGACCCTTTAGAAAAGCAGCCAGTGCTCTTGTGTCATCTCACCAGCCCCATGGGAAATTTTGAAGGTCATTTTGGTAGAGAAAATTGGATTGCCTTAAGTTTCATTAAATGGGAAACATGCATAGACTGTCATATATATCTGCTTGAGAAGGGTCTAAGGACCCTAGAGAGAAAGGACTACAAAGAGGAATGAGATAAGAAGGTAGGAGGATAAGAAGAAAAGGGAGAAAGTGGACAGAGGGCAAGAGGGGTCGAACATGGAACCACAGGCAACAAGATCTACTCAGAAAGGCCGGGAGTGGCCAAGAATGTGTGAAGAATGGTGTACAAAGCCAATTGCTTCCTGTTTTCTGCCAGGCTAGAATCCTGCCTTTGTGATCTCTCTCCCAGCACAACAATGCTCTGTTGGTTGTGTGAATAAGTTACAGAAAGGTCTGCTGGCCATGGGAGATGATGGAGAGTGGACCAAAAAAACAAAACAAAACAAAACAAAAAAGCAGCCACAGAATAGCCTTTGTGTTAAGTGGGGATCATGTTACTGGTGAGGACAGGGAGGAAGCCAAAGGCAGGGCCGGGCAAACTGCTCAAGATTGGGATGCTGAATCTGAAAAAGCACTGTGTGTGTGTGTGTGTCTGTGTGTGTCTGTGTGTGTCTGTGTGTGTCTGTGTCTGCTGTGTGCCTGTGTGCGTGAACTCATGCACATGTGTTTACATGTGTCCATGTGCTTTCTTTAATGCCTTGGCTCCTTGCCTGCCCTTCCCCACAGAAAACCTGCTTCCTCTTCTGGCTGCCTAACTTGGCAATGCTCCCTGCCCTACATGGGCCCCACCCAATCAGGAAGCCCAAGGGCACCTGTTCTCCTTTCCTTCATCTGTAGGAGGAAAGCGAAAAGTCTACCTTCTCACCTGCTTCTGATTTGCCTTCTAGATTCAGTCTCAGACCCAGAAGCAATGGCATATTTGCTGAAAGGGGAGGGGGGGTCACAGAAGCATATCCACGAGATAGCCCATTCCTGGTTGCTAGTCAGCCCTGCCCTGCCCCTTCAGCTGCCTGAAAGTCTGCACTTCCTGTTTGGTAACATGACTCCTTCTTCCTCCACTGTGCCTTCGCCAGGGAACTCAACCAACCTGCATTTTGACTTCTTGTACGGGGATTCCCAGGGCTTCACCACACACACACACACACACACACACACACACACACACACACACACACACACCCTTTCACCCTCAGGCCCTTGCAAGGATGAACTGAGACAATATGCGTAAGCATATCTAGCATAGAGCCCTTTGTTAAAAGTTTCAGTGATTGATTTCCTGCCTTCTTTGGGGAGTAGGGCTGGAAGGAAGGAGATCTTGACAGGTGGTGAGGAAAAGCATGGCTCTGTGGACTAGTAGATACTGAAGGGGGATGTAATTCTCACAACAGCCGGTAGAGGGGGCGCTCAAAGACGCCCCAAGTAGCAGCTAAAGACGCCTAGACTTAGAGAGATTGGTTCCCCCAGTCTCCCCACCTACGGGAAACAAAGTTAAGAATGAGTAATGGGACTAGTTTCTCACAACCACCCCATATCCCCACAGAGTTCTTGCTCTCTTAGTTATTTAGGTGACAACTTGTGGGTAAGCAGAACACCTGAGATTCCCTGGCTCAGCCTCACCAACATGGAGTGACCCTGCTGCTGATCCACCACACACTCAAGACAATGCAGAGAGAACTCTGAATGTTAGTGCCAACAGCTGGCAAGCCCAGAACCTCCACTTTGGTTTTGCGAAGCTTCCCGTGTCTCTCCACAGTGGGCCTAAAGAGAGTGTTTCTCTATGCCAGAGTACAGGAGACCTGCAGGTATTTCTAATGCTCAAGAGCAGCTGTGCACGATGCAGGGGACATGTGTCCCACTGCGCACACCCTCCTACCTGGCTGCATGTGGACAAGGTGTGCCCAGAAGGGTCTGTGACCTTCTCTTCCAGTTTCTTCTGAGGCTCGCTGTCATTTTTAAAGTATTTTCTGGGTGGAGGCTTGGGTTTGGAGGATGTCGGCTTTCTCACCAAAATCTCAAAAGATTTCTTCAGTCTCAGTGGTGGGTGGCTGTCTCTTTCCAGGCTCTCAGGAAGGGGCGGGCTCTCCTGAAGAGGCCTGGATGGGACCCCGGGGCAGGGCTCTTGCTCCTGCCCTGGGGGCAGGCTGGGACTGTGTGTGCAGCCTTCCCTCTCAGAAGGCTGTGGCTCCGCACCTGCACTGCAGGGGCTTCCCCCTGGTGACCCAGACATGTAGCTGCTGTCGCTGCTGGAGCGGACCATGATCTTCTGGGCCCTTCGATGAGGGGGTGCTGAGTGCTTCTCGCGTTCCTTCTCCAAGGTGGGTCGCCCATGCCAGCTGCTCTCCAGCCTTTTGACACCTGCATGGGAAGTACAAGGAAACCCTTAGCTGAGCCTCCGAAGACCAGACACCCCTAGGACTGCAGACAGCATTCTGTAAATCCCACTGCTCAGTGGCAGGCACCTTAGACTCTGAGCCTCACAGACTTGGGTTTGGACTCCAATGAGTTTTCTAACTTTGAGTTGAGAAAATCACTCAGCCTTTCTGAGACGGCAAGTGACCAACACAGAGATGCGCCATTCTGGCCACCCAACATGACTCACTGTACAAGAGCTTGGTGTCCCAGCTATGTGGAAATGCTTTTAGCTGTGAGCCCTTCCAGGGCTTTGCAGCTGCAGAGAAATACCATGCCAGTCTTGGGGTCTGATGGGAGTGAGGATGGCTTAGATTGAGCTAGCCATTGCTGCCAACTCTAGGTAACCCCAACTGGACCATGCAGGGCCCCGGGGCTGGCAGATTTCAGTTCCACCAAGCTCCACTCCGCTATTCCACTCACTTGCATAGGAGTGGATCCCCAAGAAACCTAAAAGACATCTTACACACTGCACTCTGCCTCAGCATCATCCTCTTGGGAGGATACTGACACCCCACTTCTGTGCGTGTTAAAGGGGCAGCGATGCTAACATGACTGGGCTTGCCTTGAGTGGGGTTCACTAGCAGAGACAGAAAACATTGGAGGAGCTTTGAACCCCACACCTGAAGAGGCACCCTCTTCTTCCAGCAAGAGAAGTGAAGTGAAGCCGCAGCCCTGCTCCCCTCTCTCATACTTTCCCATCCCACACAGTAATGGTTTTCCAGACAGTGGCATCTACACATCTCTAAGATGCTGTTCTTTCTGGTGACAAATGGTCACAGGTAACCCTTTCCTGAAGCTGCAGCTCAGGGAACTGGGAGCCAGTTGTTTGTGGGTTCATTTGGTGCGGTTAGGAGAGCCAAAAAGACCCTTGTGAGAAAGCAGTAAAGCCAACAGGGTTGGATCCAAACACACTTCCAAAGAGGAGTGTTTTGTTCTATCTTGGTCATATTTGAGAAACCTAAACCACTAAAGGAAGGCATGAAAGCTAACATTCCCCTGCATCTGATCACCCTACCCCCTACAACTGTAAACAGATGCTTCTGTGCATCTGGGGTGGGTAGAGCCTGGTGGAAATAAAGCCTGGTCCATCCCTTTCCTCTGAATGTTTTCCCACACACTTCGGTGGTGATATCTTGCTTGTGCAAATAAAGTGTGTTTGAAGATCAAAGGGTGGAGCTTGCCACTAGCTAACAGAAAGACAGGAAGTGAGATGACTGGGCGGAGAAAGGATTATAGGCAGCAGGAAAGGAAACTTGAGCTCTTTTCCACTGGGAAGCTAGTGAGGTGAAGATGGCTTTGGCTTGCTCCTCTCTCTCACTGATCTCTCAACATTTTCCCCTACATCTGACTCCTGGCTTTTATTAAGAACTATTAGAACTCACATTATACACTTCAGTCTCCTTGCCAACATCAGTGTTAACTCTTCAGGTTGGCACATGCATGCCCTGGGGTGACCTGGCTAATGTCCAAAGGCTAAACACAGGAACTACCTAGAGAGCTAAGTCCCTGACCCCCTGATCAGTCTCTTCATGATTATATGTCTTTGGCAAGGAGCCTTCCAGGGCCTCTCTTATTCTAATAACATGTACATAAAAATTAGATGTGAGGATGTGGTGGGATAATAAATTAAGTTAATTAGGAGTTTTTAGTATCTATTATTACAGATTAGGAATTGCAAACTCAAAGCCTACAGGGGCAATATGTGGGCAAGGCATTCTGATGGTGATGGCAGGTGATGAAAGGGATGGAGATGCCTGCAGAGCCCCTGCCACATTTAAAACAATACAAACCTTGTGCTTTGCACACGAAGCAAAAATGAGCCAAATTTAACTGGTGAGTTCCTGTCTTTCAGCTGTCACTGTCTAATGCCACACATATGTACCATGACTGTTCTCATGCTGCTGATGTAGAGGGTGGGTTAATGGCTGGACCCCAAGATTTCTAAGAAGACAAAGATTTTTCAAGTAAGTCTTCACCTCTTCCCTTACCTTCCAAGCTCCACTGGTGCCTCTCCTTTCCGAACTTGATGCCTTCCACAGCCTGAGCCACAGCTTCCTTGAGTTGCTGCTCAGACACCTGGAAAAGATCCATCACTGACTCAAGCAAGAAGCAGAGGCAGGTGCAGCAGATTCCAAAGACTGTGCCTGCTATGCCCATAGCTTATGCTTTCCAGTCTGCAAAGAGCAGACAAAATCAGCTTCCAGAAGTGCCCTGGGCATCAACAATCCCCCAGGGTCTTCCAGGTGTTGTTTCATGTCTATCAATAAAGGCAAGTCCATCGATCCCCTTGGTTCTCCAACCTTCTCCTCACTACTGTGAAACTCTAGTGAAACTCTAGGCGAATTCACCATTTCATAGTCTACTTCTGAAGGCTGTTCCCTTAGCAATGATGTCACCATCAGTGTCACAGTCATCACCATGACCATTATAGGGCCTGTGCTGTGTCTCACAAGTCATTAGTCCCTTCACAGTAACAGTTAAATGTAAGGGGCTGGCTCAGCACTAGAGAGCACTGGCTGCTCTTCCAGAAGACCAGGGTTGGATTCCCAGCATCCACGTAGTGGCTCACAAATGTTTGTAACTCCAGTTCCAAAGGACATGACACCCTCTTCTGGCTTACTCGTATACTGCATTATTCTAGTGCACAGGCAGAAGCAGGCAAACACCCATACACATAAAAATAAATAAGTAAAAGAATAAATAAAGAGTTAAGTGTGAGTCTAGGAATGAAGCAGACTTACACCACATGCCAGTTTCTCCATCATCTAGATGCATATACTTACTTCTAAGCCTCAATTTCTTGTTCTACAAACTATAAACAGTATAAATCTTCAAAAAGAGGGTATTTTACTAAGTAAATAATTGATAACCTAAATATCGTAAACAAAAGAGGAAAGCAATAAATACATTTCCTAGGCTGGAGAGGTGGCTCAGAAGTTAAGAGCACAAATGCTCTTGTAGATGACCAGAATTCAATTCCCAGAAGTTATGCTGGACAGCTTACAACAGCCTACCAGGAACCCAGGGCTTCTTACCTCTGAGGGCCCCTGCACACACATGTGCATACTCACACAGAGACACATATACGTACACATACTTTTAAACAGTAAAAAAATAATTACAAAAAAACAACTAACACCAAAACTTTAAAGTATGCCTTCTAAGACACAGTCAGTAGACTGAAACAACTCTCAAAAATGAGAGAAAATACTTGCCAATCATATATCTAGTGAAAAGTTAAAATCTAGGATATAAAGTACAATAACAAAAGCCAAAATTCATTTAAAAAATAAGCAAAAGACTTGGGTGGACATTTCTCCCAAGAAGATATATATCCAACAAAACCATGAAAAGATATTCATCACCACTGACTACTGGATGAAAATCTCAATCACAGAGAAATACCACTTCACATCCATTAAGACAGGTACTCAAACAAACAAACAAATAGACAAACAAACAGAAAAGAACAAGTCTTGGGACTGGAGAAAAGCCTCTGTGGTTAGGAATGCTTGCTGATCGTTCAGAGGTTTGGTTCCCAAACCACATTGAACAGATCTAGAGCATCCAATGCCCTCTTCAGGCCTCTCCAGGTACTACATTCACACACACACACACACACACACACACACACACACACACACACACACACCCCACATAAAAATTAAATAACACATTTTGGCAAGGACATGGAGAAGTTGAAACTCCTGTGCACTGTTGGTGGTAATGTAAAGTGGTTCAGTGTCTATGGAAGACAGCATACAGAGTCCTTAAATAATTAAAATTAGAATTAGCAGGTGATATCTGGGCATACACACAAGAGAATAATAAACAAACAAACAAATAGGACCAGGTATGGTGGCTCATGCCTGCAATCTCAGCACTTAGGAGTATGAAACAGGAGGATTGCTTCAAGTTCAAGCTCATCTTGAACTACACAGTGAGTGTCAGGACAGCCTGAACTGCAGTGTGAGACTATCTCAAACAAACAAGAAATTAAAAAATATCTCAAAGTCATGCGTACATCTCACGTTCCTTTTCCCCTATTATTGCAATAGTCCAAGGTAGAAACAAATAACCATCCATTGCAAGCTGGGTGCCTAAACGAAATACAGCACATGCATACAAGGGAATACTAGTCAGCCTTGGAAAGGAAGGCAGATGGCACAGGTTAGGACATGGATAAGAGTGTAATGTAAATGACTTAATGCTGTAACCAAAGGGCAAAGGTGTCATGGTTCTGCTTATAGGAGGTATGTAGGCAAAAGAGAAAAGTGATTACTAAGGGCTGTGGAGAGGGAATTGTTCAACAGGAAGAGTTCAGTTTCTCAAAACACAACTTGGTGGTGGTTGCACAGCAGTGTGGGTGGCCTTCATGCCACTGAACTATATATCCCTGTCTGCCTGTCTCTCTGACTTGAAAGCTGTGTTCATTTTCCTTTCAAGCCTTGGTTTCTCATTAGTGAATTGTAGCTTGGCAAACAAGACTGACACACACTGAGGAAAGATTAAATAAATAGTGGGAGTGGCCAGCACCAAGTTCCCCAAGGTGATCTCACCTATCTATCACCATGGCCTCAAGTCTCAAGTCTAGGTCCAGCCTGGATGTCACAACAGCATCAGCCCTCTGTGTCGCTGCCTACAGAATGTCTCTATCTAGACATCCTACAGATGTCTAAGTTTCATCATGTTACCCCCAACTCCTAGGTCATTGTCTCCTGTCGCAATACCTTAGTCATGTTCTGTTTCTTAGCCCAATGCTAAGTAGCTAAGAGCTACTGCCAATTCTTCCCAAGTATGGCTTTGAATTTCTTCTTCTCAAGTCTCTTTTCATGCCTTCTGTGTAGACCAGGGCTTCACCATCCATTCTTTCCTATATTCCACCTACTCTACTCTGTTCAAAGACTTCTGTGTAG